ATATATATATATATATATATATATATATATATATATATATATATATATATATATATATATATATATATATATTGAATATCTCAATTATATGAGTAAATTTTTAAAAAAATCTTGTAACTTTGGGTTTTTTTTGCACTTTTGAAATTTTCTTAATTGTTATATAAAAAGATCATTTAATCACTAATAATTAAAAAAAATTATCACAGTTCTAACCCTAGTCACACCTCCGCTTGTACCAAATTGCTTAATCTATCGTTAGAGGTAGATTGTTATGTTACCAAACAGCTCGGCTCGTCCACGAAAACACAGGTGATCAGACACTAGGTAGAGAAAGGTGCTCGGTAAGACCGGTAAGCATAAGATCATTAGGATAGGGCGGAGGCATGAAAAAGGATAATGATTGATCAAGATAAAAATATTTTATTAAAAAAAAAGGAGAGCTTTGCAAAACACAAAGTTTGAAATTTTTGAGAATGTATCATATATATATATATATATATATATATATATATATATATATATATATATATATATATATATAAACAATAGTACTTGAATTATCATTTGAGTTAATCACTATACATATATACTTATACACTATAATTAAAAAATTCCTATAATTGATATTAAAATTACACATCATATTCTACATATCATAATAAGGAATTTGAAGTATAATGTCCTTGAGATGAATTCTTATTTAAACTTCAAAAGTTTGACATTTGGATTATGATATCTTTCAAGCTATTTTTCACATATCTTATTGCTTTAAAATTATTTATAAAAAATAATTTTTTCATAAACTAATACAGTTCTGAATGTTTTTGAATCAGTGATGAATTTGTGGAAACAAATAAAAAAAAAATGACAGAGGTTGAAAACATTGCAGTTTACTTTGAGGCAGAAAACTGAAAAAGCTGAATAAATAGGCTTTCTAAGGGAAAAAGGGGAAAGTAAATAACTCTTTTTAGGTAAGTGACTCTAATATCTTTATATCTTTGTCATCAAAGTATTCTAATATACTTTTTTTAATACCTGTTAGATAAATGCTTTGAAAAAATAATTGAAAAGTAGAGTATATTACTCTTCATCAAGTAAAATTTGTTTTGAATTTCCTTTAAATCAATTTTTCAAGAGATAAAGTTGATGGGAAGAACAGTATTATTACCTTTATTTCATCTTTGTCGTCATTAAAGTACATTTAATTTGTTTTATATCCTTTTACGTCAATCCTCTAAAGAAAAGTTGATGGAAAAGAAAATAAAGGCGCCATCTTCGTAAAGGAAAAGTGCACAATAATGATAATTGAATTAATAATGATATTATAATTCATAAGCTATGATCTCATCAAAATATCATCTCACGGATAATTACAATTATCTTTAGTATCTTGATCTCTATACTTTCAAAATTATATTATGATATATGTAATTATGAAAATAAAATATTAAATTCGTTTAAAATATAATTTATAAAATTAAAAATTAAGAGAGATGAGGTTTATTAAAGTAATGAGGTAAATGTTTCACTTACATAAATATAGAAATATCATAATATTTGAAAATATAAAGATCAAAATATTAATGATAACTAATTATAAGATATAATATATAATTAGTATTAATCTCATATATTAACATGACATTTGGTTTAGTATGATACATAATTAAAAAAGCAAAACATAAAATCCACCATGAAGTTTACATTTGTACATATCAAACATGACAAATGTCAAGTCTTTGATACTTACTTAAGACAGTAGCATTTTTTTTCTTTTTTAGCATTCCATTTACTTGGTTTATTTTAATTAAGTTGATGTACCTTTCATCCATGTTTGATGCAAAAATGGATAAAAATTTAATCATCTATGTCTAATTTAATTTCACATACCTAAATAGTTAGTATGATTTGGTTTTATTGAGTATCAGATATATATAGCTCGAATAATCTTAAATCAAAAATAAAATATTAGTAAAACATAAAAATGATTTATATTAAGAAAGGCTAATTAATATATTTAAAAAATTAGAATATTGGTAAAAAATAAAAATAATTTTGAGGATAATGATTCACGGATCATGTTATGTTGACCAAGAAGTCAAAATTCAAAAAAATAGATCGATTAAGACCCACAGAACCCACGCTAAATTTAGCCTACAGACCGGTCAACGCCTCCCCTTCCTTTGCTCCCCGCCCTCTGCACTCTCGAAGCCCAACCCATACAAAGACGAAGAACCAGCCATGTCTTTCTCCACCCAATCACGACTCCAACCTTCGTCTCGTTCTTCGACAGAAGCACGATGATCCTCTCGACGTCAACGTCGCCTCGGTGAGTGATCTCGCCGTCGTTGATGGGCAACACGTGCCGTGGATCCTTAGCAGCAAACAAGTACCTCCCCAACTACAGCGGGCCCGTCGAACGCTCCTCCTCCTCCACCTCTTCCTCCGACGGCACCCCACGCCGCCGCCGCCACCGCCACCACAACCACCTAACGTCCTCCACCATCGCCGACCCGACGAAGCCCGAGAGCGACGCCGTCACCATGCGGCGCAGCGGCGGCGGCGGCGGCGACACCTGGGTCCTGGGCCACAAGACCGCTAGCCTCCGCGACCTCTACACGCTGGGGCGGAAGCTCGGGCAGGGGCAGTTCGGCACCACGTACCTGTGCACCGAAGGCGCCACGGGGAAGGAGTTCGCCTGCAAGTCCATCTCCAAGCGGAAGCTGACGGCGAAGGAGGACGTGGAGGACGTGCGGCGGGAGATCCAGATCATGCACCACCTGTCGGGCCACCGGAACGTGGTCACCATCAAAGGCGCGTACGAGGACCCGCTCTACGTGCACATCGTGATGGAGCTGTGCGAGGGCGGGGAGCTGTTCGACCGCATCATACAGCGCGGCCACTACAGCGAGCGCAAGGCCGCCGAGCTCATTAGGATCGTCGTCGGCGTCGTGGAGGCCTGCCACTCGCTCGGCGTAATGCACAGGGACCTCAAGCCGGAGAACTTCTTGCTGGCTAATAAGGACGACGACTCCTCGCTCAAGGCCATAGATTTCGGCCTCTCTGTCTTCTTCAAGCCCGGTAAGCAAGACTGTCATGGTAGAGAAGCGCTTCTATCTGAATCGATTACATCATAATTGGTTTCCCCTTTTCATTTCCGAGTTCATGTTGTTGCATCAATCGGAAGACGCACCATTCGGTAGAACGAATTGGTGCATTGATCAGTAGGAGATTATGTAGTGCCCCTTAATTCTATTATTTGCATTGTCTCACTATACAGCATAATGCATCATAGAACACCAGGCTTCTTGATTCTGCTGTCTCCAGAGAAAGTTAAGATTAAGCCTAATAGTAATCTTCTTGATTGTTTTCCTCCAAGTCCATCTCATATGCATATGATTTTTTTCTTCCTCATGAGCTCCATGAATTTCTACTGCATCTTATATCTGTTTGTTTTAGTAAATGCTATGGCTTCATAATCTTCAGGCCAGATCTTCACATATGTTGTAGCATGAACTATTTGATGATGATTTTAAAAACAGTCCCAGATGCTTTCTTGCTTTGTTCACATCCTTTCTCCATCCAAGTTTATCTCATATGCAGATGATCTGTTTTCTTGGTGATGAGTGATAGCAGATGAGATTTCCCCAACTGCACGTGGAAATCTTATCTGCTATCAATGAGTTCCATTATTCTTTACCAGAGAACAAGTTTTTCTACTACATCTTATATTTGTTTGTATTAAAAAAATGCTCCCGATTCGCAATTTTCAGGCCAGATCTTCACAGATGTTGTAGGCAGCCCTTATTATGTAGCTCCTGAGGTACTGCGCAAGCACTACGGGCCAGAAGCTGATGTCTGGACAGCTGGGGTGATACTATACATATTATTGAGTGGAGTGCCTCCTTTTTGGGCTGGTATAATTCTCATCTATTTTTTTTAGCAACTTAGTGATCACAACAATTCCTAGAACTAACCCATGTCTACTCTCCAGAAACACAGCAAGGAATATTTGATGCAGTTTTGAAGGGATTCATTGATTTTGATACGGAACCATGGCCAATGATCTCTGACAGTGCGAAGGACCTGATAAGAAAAATGCTTTGTTCTCGTCCTTCAGATCGCCTTACTGCTCATGAAGTACTTTGTATGTCATCCATTTCATGATGATAATGAGCATATAGTTTGTAGTAGTTCTTTACAGAATTTTGAGTACCAATCTCAATTTTTCTTTTTTTTTGTGCACATCTTTCAGTTCCAGACATTATTATAACTTCTGGGGGAGAATCATAATTAGGTGTAGTCCACTAATTAGAGATTGCCTGATAAGTTTCGATTTGTCTGTGATCCTAATAAAGTACTTTAGCTGTAGGAGTATGTAAAGTATGGTATAATTACAGGCTAAACTGAAAACAGGCAGTTGCATCAAAAGCACAATATGTTACATTAGATTGAGGATGAGCACAATAAAATTACAATTATTTATTTGAAAATATCACCAGTACATAGAAGGAGGATCAGTTCAAATAGGGTGTCCACCTCTGCAAGCAATCTTGTTGTCTCAAAAAATGTTGAAGGCATCGGCTGACTTAACACACTTGTCAAAGAAAACAATTATACAAACTTCAAGCATCTGCCAAGCTCTCTTTGAGCTTATAGCAATTATCTATCTTTAGTGTTGAATTTGTGTGTTCTAACTTCTAACTATGAGGAAAGTATATTACACAAGCATGAATATGGGAAAAATTTTAATTCTAGCTGAAAATAATTGTTTGGTGACAGCTTTTCAAATACTCTAATTCTTAGGTCATCCCTGGATATGCGAAAATGGAGTTGCTCCAGATCAGGCACTGGATCCAGCTGTACTCTCTCGCCTTAAACAATTCTCAGCAATGAATAAGTTAAAGAAGATGGCTTTAAGAGTAAGTTTATCTTTTCTTCTGAGAGATTTTCTTCGATCAACTCATGTGCCATTGAACAAGCTGATTAATCTTTCTATGTTTTGTCTTCACAAAATATACATTTATCACCTTCTGATATCTAAAAGCAGCACTTGTTTCTTCCATATAAGATGGAGAAAGTCTCTTTTGCAGAACAAGACAGTCTTTTCTTTATCCTTTATTTTGTTTTCACGTAATTATTCATCTCCTTGGAAACATTATTAATTGGATTGGCAAGTTGAGGTGGAAGACATGGCACACAAAAATATTCATCGATTAAAAATAACTCCTATTACTTGAGAATTTGATGTATCTGTTTTTGGTTTACAAAAATTTCTTATCCATTCCTTTTATAATAATTTTGTTGATGGAAATGAAAACTGTTAATGTCAGCTAATGCAATTGAGCTTAAAAACAGTTGGAAGCAGTTCTGACAGATTAAACTTGTATTATGTGATTTTCTGTTGGTTTCCTATATCAATTCAGCAAGTGATTAACATCCCTAATGCAGGAAACATAAATTTTAACACTATTCCATGGTTAGTAGAAAGCTTCAACTGTCATGCCCAGCTCTGCAGGAAGCATCAGTTTTTCTGCATCCACATTTTCTGGGAGTTTCATGGAAGTGTCTCCTATGAATTAGCAGAACTTTTCATGAATTATTGAACAAGCCTTAGCTAGTTGATAGAACCCTGCTTCCAGTTATGATACTGCAACGTTTTGACTGTTTTCTGGTTCTTTTTTGGGGTTACCAAGGGCATTGATTGGGCATATAATTTTCATCAATCTCTAGATATATGCTGCTATTTGCAGTAGTAGAGATAGTATTAATATCACCTAATTAGGCATCTTGAGCATGAATTGCTGTACAAAGTGATAACAATATTATTAACTGTGCCATAGTTATTTGCGTGAGTACTGTTGCATAATCTACAACAAACCAAGGGTGTATGTATAGACTCTTGCCAATCAGAGTAAATCATAGTTACCATGAGGCCCATGCCATATACTTCTGATAAGTACATACTAATGCACCAGACATCTGTACAGGATCAGTACACTAGAATGGCTGTTCTTGATCTCAAGTTTGACTTTGATGCATCTTTTTGTGTGAAGGGATCAAGTTATTTGGTACTGTCCATATTCTTTCATCTTTGACGATATTTTTGGCCGGATTGTATTAGTTCTAGGTTGAGAGATACTAGATATATAGATTGTGTTCCTTAACCATGACTGACAAGGAAACCTGCACCTTCTTCTAGTTTTGTTCTCGAGCTAGTATTGCATTTAAGTGGATTGCACTATCCAATCACAAACATTTTCTAGCTCAGGACAAGTTGACATCACTCACATTGCAATTAAGATCAATTACTTTTCAAGTTTATCTCATATTGGTTCTAACTGTACCAGGTAATTGCTGAAAGCCTTTCCGAAGAGGAGATTGCAGGACTGAGAGAAATGTTCCAGGCAATGGACACTGACAACAGTGGTGCGATCACATTCGATGAGCTAAAAGAGGGTTTAAAAAGATATGGCTCAAACTTGAAGGAGTCAGAGATCCGTGATCTCATGGATGCTGTAAGCAAATCATCTGAACTGCTAAATTTCATCCATGTTATTGGAAATAGGGTTAACAAAGGAAAGAAAGAGACACTGAAAACACATTTTGATTTGTAATAGTTATTCTTAACGTAAACCTAAAAAGTGTCTAAACCAGTGCACTTTGTCCCTTTCTTGCTGGATGATGTCATGCAGCTGAGGCAAAATTCACTTTACCACCCGACAAACACATTTAAAATGCTATGGCATGAACGGGGAGATGAAATTTTAGCAGCCTGCAAGTAGCTTTTTCTAAGGCTTGTGACAACCTGATATAGTGAGTACACAAGACCACAATAAGGACATAAGTGAGTGCATGAAACACAAGAAAACATGCAAAACATATGCAATGATGCCACAAGAAATTTTCAAGCAATTTTACTACATTAGAAACCCTTACTTTCTAAAGGTTGGTCTACTGTCTATGATGACGAGGTAGGACATAACTGTAGGATTTAGAATAACTGGAGGTTAAACACTTGAAAAAACTTGGGTTGAAATGGTTGTTTATGTCATTAGGGTAGACAAGACATCTGACTGTTTAAATATGCATGTACACCTTATTTTTTCATTTATCTCACTTTGAGGGTTGAATATTGATTGTCATTGTGTAGTTGAAATGATGAGTTTCTTCTGCATCTTCTTTTTCTGAGAATACATTTTGGCTAAGAAGAGTATAGTTTTCATGAACTGAGATGGTTATCATCTTTTATTTTATTGTTGCTTCAAAGTTCAAACATTTTTCAGATTTCAGTGAGATTTCCATAGTAAGTTGGTGAGTTAGTCGAGCCAGTAAGGAGATCAGGTTTCCATGGTATTAAAGTATGAAATTAAGGACATTGTTTTTGGAAGGTTGCAATAGAACATTTCTCAGATCAGGTTCTACAATTTTTTCCTTTTAAGGGAAAAAATTACAAAGCAACTGACTCAAGTCAGACTTCTTTTTTTTATGATATCCATCCTGGCTATATGCTAAGTCGGCCCTTAAACTTCTATTATGTATCACCCTCTTACAAGAAAAGAGCAACTAGGTTTGAAAATTGACCAGGAGCAGTCTATGCCTGCATCTTGAGAATAGGAGTATCTAGATCTTAAGCTTTATCCAAAAACCACAAGAATTGCTGAAGTTTATTAGGAGCTTAGATCTTAAATATTGAGTGTTTTCTTGGAAACTGCACTGTGCTGTTGGACTTGTTTTTCAACTAAGTTTCTGAATTCCCCTAGCACTTTGATTTACCGATTCAGAAATACCTTGCATTCATTGACATCGATGATTGTTAATTAGACATTACGATTTTCCTTCTGTGATCTAAATGAACAATTCATATGTAAATTAGGCTGATGTGGACAACAGTGGCACCATTGACTACGGGGAATTTGTAGCTGCAACGATACATCTTAACAAACTGGAGCGTGAAGAGCATTTGGCAGCAGCATTTTCTTACTTTGATAAGGATGGAAGTGGTTATATCACAGTTGATGAACTTCAGCAAGCTTGTAAAGAGCACAATATGACTGATGTTTTGATCGAGGATATTATCCAAGAAGTTGATCAAGATAATGTAAGTGACAATTCAGTCTCCATTCTATCCGATAAAAAGTAATTCTTCCTGGTTTTAGTATTATTTTTAGTTCTGCAACTTTATTCATGATCAACAGCCATAGCTTTTGCACTTGGCTGAATGTGTTGTTCTATTCACATATCATATCTCATGAATATTTTGATTTTATGAAGTATTTGACATGTGAAACTTCAAGCATGCTGGAAAAGAAAAAGAAGAAAGAATCATGACTTTTGTAAGTAATTCTAGACATGATGTGGTATGATTCGTTGCTCGTTGCTTCCTATAATTCTCACTGTGGAATGATCTATAAAGAAGAACGTTTTTTTGGATCTTCTTACTAGTAATATTATTCTTTTACCATTTAAAAACTGTTAATATTGAGATTTTTTTTAACATTTTTCATTAAGATGTTGTATATCTATCTGAATTTTGATGCATAATGATCGTATGACTATGAACTAAATGAAAATGAATATTTTTATGCTGTTGTAATATCTCCCCAACTCCAAAAGTTAGTATGAGTTCTTGTGTTGTGCACATCTTATGATGTCTCTTCGAAGTTTAATATGGCAACTTTGGATTGGACACTTTTAACTTCAACATTTTCGGTGCTTGTATATCGATTTTCTAGGCCGTAAAAAGTTGACCGAGATTTTGAAGGCTCACCTGATGCTGATTTCATGTCTCAGGATGGTCGTATTGACTATGGTGAGTTTGTTACTATGATGCGAAAAGGCAACATGGGACATGGAAGAATAACCATGCGGAACATGCGAAATAGTCTGAAAATTTCCAGGAGAGATGAGCCGGAAACTCCCTGATCTCTAACCACATACAGGTTCTGTCAAAATAAACTCTTCTCTTGCCATAAATTGAATGTGGAAAAGGATGGTGTTAAAGATTTTGATGGCATTCATTTACTACGAATCATAAAAATTTGAACTGAAATGTGAAGAAAATTTGGCACAGTGTTCGGTCTTTGTTGAAACTGATTACTTTCATTTTAATTTCAGCTTGGCACGGTCTGATTCAGACAACACAAGCTTCTGACTTTGCTTCGATAAATTGTATTCTGACAAAGAACAAGCCTCGGACCGAACCATACATCTCAGGACTTGTGTAAAGAAGAGTTTGAGTTCTGCAATCCATTAAAATGTGCCCCGGCTCTTTTCTCCTTCCATTTCAGCTGCATTCCCATCACCTTGTTGAAAAAATGAAGCTGGTGGAGAAAGAAAAGATATGGAGGGAGATACAAAGTCAACCTCATGTTGCATCTGCAGTCTGATTCATTAGAAAGGACAGCATAGGAATAATAGTCTTTGGTAGAAGAACGTCCTCAGGGAAGTGGAAGTCATGAGAAGCCTTCCATGCCATGCAGGGATAAAGAGTTGTACTCATTTCATGTTTCTTATTTCTTTTGCTTAGTGTTCACTTGGCATTTCTCCAGCTTTAATAGCTGTAACACAGTCAGAAGTATATGAGTTGCTTGTTATCCATCTATATTTCATGTACATGGAAATTAAACAGCCAAAATGAGAAGATGGTTTAATTACTCTTCACTTTTACAAGCATTATTTCTTCTTTTATTATTTAATTATTAGTTGATACTCTAAAAAACACTAAATATCCTTAAAAACTCATCATAATTATAAAAATACTAGAGTTATTTTAGGCATTTTATAATTTTGTATTTTTTTACTCTTAACTAATAATGTTAACCAGGATTAGCCATGATTAACCTAAGTTATCTGCATGAATATTGAAAGAGGGACACATGAAATGTTTTTGGAGGTATGTACATGCTATATCAAAATTTGTTAGGGAAAATAAGCTATTCCAAAAATTTTAAAAAAGTAGATATGTAAAAACAATTGTGTTTATTGTGAGGTAACTTATTTTTGTTATTTAGTAAGTGGAATAAAATACTCAACTAAACCATTTTATGTCCCCAAAATGTGAAATAGAGATTGTACTCATCCTTGTATTGATTCATAGAACAAATACGTCAGCTCAATCTCTATTTCTTCCATGCATGTAGAACAGTTCAACACAGTATACCTAATATGCTTTGGATGTCATGGAAGCTTATGTTCATGGATTGATGAGTGTGCATCCTTGCATTTTTGCTAATATGGACAGCTAGGCTTGATACAGAGCTTACAACATGATGCGCTTATTATTATTATTATTATTATTATTGAATAAGGGTAAATGATAGATACGATATTCTCGAGTCGAAAAACTTATAATAAACTATTAAAATCTTTACCAGTTAAATTAATATTCAAAATAATTTTTTATAAAAATATTATAGAAAATAAAAATATTGTAGAAAGATACAGTTATTATTTATAATAGATAGATATAAATTTTACCTATGTATATATAATTATCAGAATCTGGCTGAATCGATGGATCAAATAGTCAGAACATGAGTTTAATAAAAGATATAAATAAAATAAAATATATTATATTAAAAATATAAGACATACATGTAATACAATATCAATAAATTTTTATAATAAAATTAAAGAAAATGAAAGGAGCAAAGCAAGACGTAAATATAATTTTCTAATATCATTCTTATAATTAAAAAGACATGAATATTATTAAAAAATTTGAAAATCTAAATAAAAAACATTTTGATTTTTTTCAAAGTTTAAGTGGTCTAATTAGTGAACCACAGACCTATTCGATCTATGTTTTATAACTATATATTTTTATATAAGATTTTATGAACGAATCGTCGTAAAGTTTGAAGTGACAAATTTGCCCTCATAAGCTTAGACATCCTTTCAAGATTACATAACTACAATTAGCATAAACTCGATTGAATTAAAGAAATACATAAAATCATAAAATACCTAAAAACTCATGAATATATTATCATTATCAACAAAAATTAAAGAATTTAAGATTACCCTAAGTGTGCACGCAAGTTCGTTAGCTTGAAGGATTTATATTCTACACGTAGGGTTGATTTAAAATATATTTTTATTATAAAAAATATATCAGATAAGATTTTGAAGTGTAAGATTAATGAATATATATATATATATAATCTTATTTTTACTAAAATAAAAGTATAGGTATATATATACACACACACATACCTATAGGTATATAAAATCTTTTTTTATTAATTAAAAATATTAAGCATATATATATATTATATATCTTTTTTCTTAAATAAAAGTATTAAGTATACGACGGCGTGCTGAGAAAGGAGAGAGAGAGCCGAGAAGGATCTGATCGTGGTGAGGGTTTCTGTTCTCTTGCCACCCACCTTCTCTTCTCCTCGAGGCTCTCGCCATCGCGTCTGCCAGTGCGTGTGGACTCCCGACCCCATCGAGATTTGTTGGTCGGGGTGGAGAATGGAGACCCTCCCAACGGCGGCGGATAAGCAGCAGCTCGTGTCGTCCTTCCTCGAGATCGCGCTCGGCCAGACCCCTGAGACCGCCACGCAGTTCCTTCAGGTTCGGTTCCCCACTCCTTTTGGATGAGTTACCCTTTTATACGGTTCTTGATTGCTCGATGGATGTTGGCTTGGTACAAATCGTAGGCCACATCATCCAAAATCCTCCCAAACTCGAGGTTTTCCTTTCTCCTCTTTTCTTCCCTCCCCGCCCCCCCTCCTTCTCTTGATTCACTGGAGGCTAGCAATGAGGAAATCAGTCTATGTGGCTGCGCGCCTTGGAGCAATCCATCATGGAGGATCTGGTGTTGATGTTGTTCGATCCGTTCTTTAGTTGGAGATTAAGTTGGGTTTAAAGAGTGGTGAGAGTTTTAGGGTTTTCTGTACAGTAGTATGTTCTTAATGTTCTGGATAAATTCGGCAGGCAACGGGTTGGAAGCTTGAGGAGGCTCTCCAACTCTTTTACGTCGGCAATGAGGGTGGTGGGCTGGCGACGTCTTCCTTTCCGCCGCCTCCCACCGGAAGTCCTAGGTGAGTTTAAGGCAGCCATCGATGATAGTTCACTTCTTGTGGTGAGGAATTGTTCTGCAATTTCTCTACTTTTTGCAGCGAGCAGGAGAATGTTATGTCAAGCGGAAGTTTAGTGCAAGGTGCCCTCGAGGATGAAGTGCGTCCACCATTACCTGTCAAAAGAGAGACACTTTACGGGGATACACCTTTATTTAGGTTTGATTTTGTCGGCTCATATTGGTTTTGCAAAAACTTACTATTAGTATTTCTATGAAATTTTAATTGCTTAGACTGTGAATTATTATTATTTTTTACTCCATTTGTTACTTCAAAATTAGTCCTGGAAGCCAAGATAGCATCAGATAACATAAATATGATAAAAGAGTATGCTTTTGCTGCAAAAGCTTCAGTATAATGACCGTACCTATTTTTCGTAGAAGACATGTCCTAGATAAAATATCCAAAATAGAGTTCATAAATAATTTATCTCGAGCCTTCAAGTAGAAAGTTGAAAACAACACAATAGGTAAGAAAGTTGCTTTAGTATCATGCTCTGAAGTTTCCTGGTAGTTAGCTGACTCGTATCAAACATAGATGTAACTTTAGGAAGTTTGGTTGTGGAGGGAACAACCAATTTGTTTGAAAAGAATGTATGAAGCTAACCTTTTGAAGAACATGGTCAGATTGTTTCTTATAACCAGCTTAAGCATGGAAAGAATTAAGAGCTTCTCTGTGGGTGGATGGCACAAAGATAGAAATCGTAATGTGCCAGGCTGAGACAGGCTTCTATATGATTCAGTAACATGAGGTGACCCTAAATAGTAGGCTCTCACAGTGCATTTGTAGCTTTTACAAATGCTTCTGCAAGACACAGGAAATACCTCAAGATCAGTATTGCTAAAGCTTCTTTGGTACTTTGAACTGTCACATGCCAACCATCCCAATGTCACCATTGCTTGGGTCATTTCAGTAGCCTGAAAAGCACCTCTCCCGTCAATGCATCCGCAGCCCATGGTGCATCAACTGCTACCAGATCTGCTAATCAGTTTCCAGTCAACTCTTATCATGGCCACCCTCCTAACTGTAGTTGATGAAGATACACATTCACAGCTCGTCTCCTTCCATGATTTTCACATGGAATTATACTTCCATGGCATCACCATTTGCCTGACGCGGCCACTGCCACTGGCATCATCTGGAATCCCAACTGGAAGATTGGCTGGAGTGTGATGATGGGAAGATGCAGATGTTGCTGGCTTACATTTCCTTGCCGCTTTCTTCTCTGCTTCCGATCACAGAGGTCAGGGAGAATGACAATCCTCCTCGATTGGTAAAGCCTGGTAATGGTTACGATCTGGAGAGGGCATGCTTTTTAGATACTTTTGAGGTGGATTTGGATCTGTTGTTTAAAATTAGGGCCCGAAGTATGACTATTTTGGAAAGTTAATTAGTTCTGAATATCATTGAATTTTGAAGGTGGTTGGGAATCCATTTGAAGCCAAATGATGCTGGATAAAATTTTGAAGCCACTATTGATAAGTTGGAGTTCCTTTGGGTTACAGTTCAATTTTATATTTATATAGTGGTCTAGAAATAGAAAGCTAAGGGGAAATGTCAAGAACTGTTGAAATTTGAGAAGTTTTGAATTCAATACTTTTGGTGGAGTATTGCCTTATTTGTTAGTCTTTTCTCTTATCTTTTTTCTCTTATATTTTTTATTAGTAAAACTTAAACTGAGGTCGTGAAGATCATTGAATCTCAATCTGAATGGTCCATGCGAATTTACCAAAATCAGCCTGAAACCATTGTAGGGCCTTCCCTGAGTGAAATTAATAAATTTGTAACACTTGAGTCTTAGCCTTGGTCCCAAAAAGTTGAGCAATTTTTATGCAGCATACCTCCATAGCACATTTTTGCTACAATGGTTTGTTGCTCAGAAACTTGGTTAACTACAATTTGCTAGCGAACTTGGTCAGTGACTAAGAAGAAAGGGAGGGTCAGGAAGATGCCATCTATCCAGTGTTTCCCACTCAGTCTACTGCTAGTATGCTGTTACCACTGGGAACTGAAAGGAGGAAGAGAGAGATGGAGATGCAGCCATTACTTTTCGTGATAAGTTTTTAGTTTCAAAGAAACCCTCCTACCAAGTCTGTTAATTCTTTCATGATTTTTTTCCAATTAAGACAATATCTAATTAGTAAACAATTTGCCTATCCTATACTATAACCATATCAAGGCTCTTCGGTATCAAAAAGATTAAAAAAGAGATTATAATCTCCCTAAAATATCTAGGAAGGTTAAGGATAAAATTTGTTAAAAAATTATTAAAATAGAAATCCTATTATACTCTTGTTCTAACTAGAGAACTAACAGATCCTACATGTCCTCTTTCAATTTTAATTTAAGTATATCATATGGGCCGGTGTATCACTTTGTTTTGTCTTTCCCATGGATGGTTTGGGTTTTGGCTTAGTACTTCTTGATTTAAGTAAAACCTAAGGGCATTGCATTTTCTGGGTACCTTTCCAATTGCATCAGGGGACCATTCTATGGGCATTATTCTTCTGGACTTGTTAAAATTTCAGAATCTGCCATAAACAAGCCAAAGGTTTTTATATTTATTGTGGTTTTTACAAATTTACTTTCTCCATGCCATGATTTCCTTTTTTAGGTAGTAGTTATCCTTTAATTAAATTTATAGTTTTGGAAGTTAATTTTGGTTTGTTGTTGAGCATAGACATATCTTTTATGTTTTCTTTGACATTGACCAGTGTGAATGCTTGCATGTTCCAACTATGAATTTACAAATTTATATATTTGTTTGTTGTTCTTACTGAAGGTGGCATTTTGGTTCATCTTTTACTTCCTGCTTTGGTTCACCGGTGTTAATTCTTGCAAGTTCCAATTATGAATTTACAAACTTGTATCTTTGTTTGTTGCTCTTACTGAAGGTGGCATTTTAGTTCATCTTTTTATTCTTGCTTTAGCTTTCGTTTAGTTTGCCCCTTAACCCTACTTGCAATGAATGCTTTCCTTGAATTTTTTTCCCTATCCGTTTGGCCCTTTAAGGATTGCACCACAAAATATCATTTATTCTTTAGAATTGAATCATTTCCAAAATCAAGCATTGCTTTCTTCTACGTGTTTAAATACATATTTTCTAATCTTTTGTCCACCATTTTGTCACGGACTTAGTTGGTTTTGCCTAAATCGTGTGGCATCCTTGCTTGTCCGTCCGCAAAGGTCAATCTCCCCGAAACCTCCCATGGTCCCTTAGGACCTACAACAGAGAAAACGGGTTAGAGAAAACGCCTCACTCGGGATCCACAAGCAAATATTTTCGAAAACACTTCATAGACAATGCAAATTATAAATAGTCTTTACAAGCTCTTAACGGTTACACAACAAAGGATCAAAATGATCCACTACAGACTGAATATCTCTTGTCCACATGACACAACCTTTATTTACAAGCTCAAGAAGGCCACCAAACCCAACTAAAATGGGGTTTTTAAGCCATCGACCGTCCCTATACATGCTGTGCAAAACATGAACAAATAGAAAGACACGGACATACATAAGTACTACATCAAACATCCTGTTTAGAACTTTGTCCGTGAGAATTTGGTGCATGATTTTATTATCATTCTACTATTAACGATTGCATAAGTTAATCTCCTTTTTTATTGTTGAACCTCAGGCATCAATCAAGTGCAATGGTTGCGTTCCGCAATTTTGATGAGGAGTCAAAACGATCTGCTGTTTGGGAATCAAATGAAAGTTCTGCATCAACAGCCAATGGTTCCCGTGATAACCTTGCTTCTTTATATAGTCCACCTTTTGCTTTGATGTACCAAGGATCTTTCGACCAGGTGAGCAAAATATGTTGCAGAGCTCTCTTGTTTCTTAGTTAAACAGTAGTGTTTCTTCTATTAATTCAAACGACAAAATTTTCTACTTGTTTAAATAAGGTTGGAAATCTTGGTGATCGATAACCAGATTGGTACAATTTCAATATGAAATCTGTGTACCAACACTCAGTACGGGTTGATATGGCACCTGCTGAAGAGAAAGAGGGAGAGAAGAGGGGAGGAAGAGGAGGTGGAAGAGAGGGGGAGGGAGGGTTTTAAAGACCAAGAATATGGATTTACCACTTTGGAGATCCATTTTACACTATTTTATTATATTTATGATAGAATGTCCACTTGCTGCACATCCCAATTTCATTTTTCTTACTTGTGGATCACTTTGTAACACTTGACTGGAGTTTCATCTGTCATACATAACTTAATAATGTGGTAGTAGATGAGGAACCCATGTCACGATTTGACCTGTGAGCTGGACCCTGCCTTCTTGTTCTGTGCTGAACAGGAGACTCTGCTTAGACATCCTTTTTTTAAAACATAAAATGCTTGATTCTTTCAGCTGAAAGTTATATTGGAAGATATTGGAAATTCTTTTGAGAGCCTTAAGGCCCCCTTGCAAAAGGGAACATGACCATCACATCACCATTATGCATGGAGTTTTGCCTGCTATTTCATCCCTTCTCATGTGCTAATCAGATGGAGAATGGGATCATCAGGCCACCTCATTGTCCTGACTCGTCCTCGATATTGCTAGTGAAGAAAAAAGGTAGGACTTGATGCTTTTACATAGACTAGAGGAAGTTAATGACCTTAGGGTGAAGAACAATATCACATTCCAGTGATGGATGATTTGTTGGTTAAGTGGAGCTTGCTACTTTCCAATGATGAATCTTTAGTTGGCCTACTATTTAGATTTGTGTCTATTCAGATGATATGGAGAAGACAATTTTTAGGGCCCCCAATGGCATTACAAGTTCTTGGTCATGCCCTTTGGGTTGACCAAAAGATCATTGACTTTCTGGGGTCTCATATATACATCTTTAGTGTGCATTTGCAGATCTGTTGTGGTCTTTTTGACGTTTTTTTCGTTCTACAATCCGACCTGGAATGAACACTTGAGTAGCTGTTGGAGATTTTACATTAGCACCATCTCTTATAATATTGAGCAAGTGCACTATAAATTTCGCATTAGTAAGTTGCTTGAGGCACATCAATAGTGATATAGGTTGCATTGGATTGGCCCATTCCCAACTGACCAGTTTCTGCATATGGTTTGTCTGTGGATGTGGACAATCGACAGCACTCTTAATGACTCTTCTGATGAAGGATAGTTTCTCTTATATGTGACGTTTTAAAACTATGAAGAAGGCTACAGTATCCAGATGCATGCTTGTGCTTCCATGTTTTGATAGGTCATTCGATATCAAGATAGATGCTTCTGATATGGGGATTGATTGATGTATTGATTCTTTATCATCAGAAATCTGTATTTCCTGAAGCAGTTCATTGACCACAATAAAGTGAAAGCATGTGTTTTCTCACATGATTGAGGTGGATCCAATTGTATGAGCTGTTTAATCGTGTCCGGACTTTATGACTTTAATCATGTCATATTTAGAATGATATGAGCTTCTTTTAATCATATTATTCTGTAAATATCAATTGGATTTTGTAACCCTGATGTATTTCTTCTATGCATTATTGGTTGCGCTGCTTCATTGTTTGTGTAGGCAAAGATCGAGGCTTCCCTTCAGGGTAAGTGGTTATTAATCAATTTGCAGTCCAATGAAGAATTCAGCTCACACATGGTAATTGTCTTTAACTTGTGTTTTTTTTTTTGTGTGATTTAATTTTTACGAGATTGTCACGTTATGCTCTGTGTTAAAGCTCAACCGTGATACATGGTCCAATGAAGCTGTGGCACAAACAATTCGGACCAATTTCATCTTCTGGCAGGTTAGTCTGTTTTATTTATAGTGCATATATTAGTGTAGACATCTGATTTCCTTGGGTATTTACCTTATCAACTATCAAATCAATGGCGGGTTCTATTTGATTTGGCAATTTCTTAAGACTTAGTCACAGTTCCCTATTTATCTGTTTGGAGTTCTTGCTGCTTTATGTTGCATTTGTTATGAGAATCTCAGGTGTACTATGATACTAGTGAGGGGAAGAAGGTCTGCACCTACTACAACTTGATTACTCTTCCTGCTGTTCTTGTCATCGATCCCATTACTGGACAAAAAATGCGTGCATGGAGTGGTATGGTACATCCAGAGCGTTTGCTGGAGGTACTAGTAATACAAAGTTCGGGTGACCTGTAATTACATTAGTGATCCTGTAGGATCTGAGCATACTAGCAAACTGCTCATGCAGATTTATTAAACTAAGAGCTGTGTTTTTGGTTCTTCCTTAATTATAGCCTTTTCTATGTAGGATTTGCTTCCATTTCTAGACAAAGGTCCCAAGGAGCATCATACTTTTCTTCCTCAGAAACGTCCAAGAGTTGCCCATGATTCTGCTCCTAATAACATACTAGGTAAGTCAGACAATGCTTATTCTATAAAACAGATTTCTTGAACTAAATTTTTTATTTACTTTATGCTCCTTATCGACTGCTGTTTATGGTGCAGAAAAATTCATGTCTGCTTCCCGACAAGGCACATGAATATATATATATATGTATATTATATATATATAGTTTTCTTTCTTGAACTTTTTGAAATACAAATAAACTAGAAAGGTCATTTAATTTTGCATCAAATAGGGCAAGCAAAATAATAGTGCTGTTGGCTTTAGCGACTATATTGTCACACTCCTGTGAACTAAAACTCAGTAAACAGTGAATAAGAAGCATATATGTCATAGACAAAAAAATTTCAACTTGGTTTATCATAATTCACTTCGTTCTCTTTGTTTTAGACAAAGAAGCCGTGGAGGAGGATGTAGAGGTTCTGCAGGCGATAGCAGCCTCCATGGAGGATGCTAAAAGCCCTCCTAGGCCACCTGTAACTGATGATGATCCTAAACCTGAGAAAGATGGTGAAACCAGCTCAAACGGAAACCTGACTTATCCACCTCTTCCTGAAGAACCAAAAGGAAGCAAAGAACTTTGCAGAGTCGGGATTCGTCTCCCAGATGGCTGTAGAATCCAGAGAAAATTTCTTCGAACTGATCCAATAAAGGTACCAGATGCAGTTTGAGTTTTCTATATACTTGCTTTCCATACCTCTCAGTCGAAGCTCCACATAATCTTTGTCAACCCATGCAGCTTTTATGGTCTTTCTGCTCCTCTAAGTTAGAGGATGGACAAAGACGACCTTTCCACTTTACGCAAGCCATTCCTGGTGCATCAAAGAGTCTCGAATACGAGAGTAACTCAAACTTTGAAGAAGCAGGTTTATCAAATTCAATGATCACCTTGGTTTGGGATTGAAATCTTCATGAAAATAGTGGCACGGGGCTGACGGCTTGCTCAAAATTTCAGTTTGCGGACACGAAAGGTTTCTTTTAGTTTGTCTTGTAGTTTAAATGGTGTCTCTACACAGGCAAAAATTATGAATTGCTGATTTATTAGTTAATACAAAGACAGTAATATGTTACCTCAGGCAAATGGACTCTGTACAGGCACAAACCATGAATTGCTAATTTACCACTTAGTATAGAATTGACCACAGCATTTTTGCAGCTCTGTACCTTTTTCTTCCTGTAGGAGTAGTAACATATGGATTGAGATTATCCTGAACGAAGAATGCCGTCAGCCAGAGGAGTTTAAGCACCAAATACTTGTGTCATTTCTCCTATTTGTGTGCAAATAGGAGTTTACACTATCTATTTATAACCATGAAGCAGGAATGACTTTGGATCTGTTTACTAGATTGCTCAAAGCATCCTTCTTGTGGTCCTTCCTTTTGTGTGTTTTTTGTTCCTGAAAAGAAAGTTATTTGTTTATACGTGGATTTCAACCGTAAAACCTGCATCAAAGAGGTGCACTATTAGATTTCATTGCGAGTTAGGATGATAGAAACAAAAGAGATACTCAATAAATTGAGAAAGAGTCGCAAGTCTTTAAGATGTTCGTTAGGATGATAAATACTTCTTAATCCAATAATATTGTTGTTTCCAAAGTTTACAAGGCTACTAATTGTAGTTTGAATCTGATTCGTCTATTCCTCGGGTAATTTTGATGTGTGTATTATTTCTCATGTGTTTCGAGAATAAAAATAAATAACAAATTAGTTTAATTTTGATATGTATATTATTTCTCATGTGTTTCGAGAATAAAAATAAAATAACAAATTAGTTGGTTTGACATGTGAGGAAGGAAGAAGGGAGTGAGTCTTTAGTTGCTTCTTTGCTAAGAGTGTTTTTTATCCTTCCTTGATTTAATAGTTAATCTTTTTTTCTTTCAGTTTAAGAAAAAGGTTAACAAGGGTATATATGTCAAAACATCTGCATTCAAATGTGGAAAGAGTCGAACGGCCCATTGGCTTCATTTGTTCTCCCTTCTTCAAACGGGCATCAACCCTCCAACGATTTGAAACCCCAACGCCATTCCCTTTCTCTCTCTCTCTCTCTCCACATCTCCCAGTCTCCCCTTGCTAGGGCTCCAGTTCTTGATCGGCTCCGCGGCCTCGAGGGCGATGGATCTCTCTCCGGACACCGAGGAGTACATCAAGGAGTCCATCGAGAGTTCGCTGGGCCTCCCGGTCTCCGTCAAGAGCCTCAGCCTGAAGCTCCTTGCCTCGGAGGACGCCCGACACCGCCTTCAAGATCAGATCTTTGTCTTGGAGGAGCGGCTCACGGAGGCCGATAAGCGATTGGAGCAGTGTAGGGTTGGTGTCTCTCGTCCCCCGCTCCACTAACTCTTCGTCTGACGCGGAAGTTTTGGTAGTTGATCGCGAAAGCTTCGGCCTTTTCTTCTTCTTTCTTGGGATTGGCAGGCGGAGGCGAACATGAACGCCCAAGGAGTGAAGAGGTGCGTGGAGGAGAAGGAGATGATCGCGTCCAAGTATGCTGATTTGGTGAATCACTGCCGCAAGTTGGAGGAGGAGTGCTCTCTGTATGAGCGCGACTTGGAGAGGATTATGGAGTCTTGTGACGAGTTGGGGAAGGAGAACGAGGAGCTGCGGGCACGGCTGGATGACAATTCTGGCGTACGTATTCCTTCTTAATTTGTTCTATTTCCTTCTTCTTTTTATAGAGATGATGATTGCCTTTTTGCTTTTAATGTCTTTATACAAATTAGGGTTTTTTATTTGTTGTGTGCTTTACCCAACCAAAAAAAAGGGAAGAAAGTTTTTTTGCAGAAATATTTATACAAATATTATTTTGACCTACACATGTTTTTCGAGATTAAATACTAAGAAGCAGAGTTGAACGATGGGTATCAATTGGAAATTATATCCGTTTGTAGCATGACATATATGCCTTTTCATTTTAAATTAACACAGCATTGTCGAAGGAAGGGAAAAAAGAAACGCAAACTTTATTGCCTGCTATATCATGTGTATATCATCTTTTGCTAGAGGTCATTTGAAAGATAATGTCTCTCAAGTACCATTAGAATAGATCTGATTTATGATTAATCTGCTAAAGCCATTGTATCATTGGCTGAACAATCTAAACACTACGATTATGGTGCCATTTTAGAAGAATGAGAGCAGAGGAGCAGGTGTGGGCTTAAAGGTCAAGCCCTAGTGGTTGTGATGTAGTGTGCATAGTCTATAGGTCAGGAGTCTGAGTCCTGCTGTAAGCGTCCATGCAATTATATATGGTGTGTAATGTTTTCCACGGAAGGAGAGTTTTTTTTAATAGTGTTTGGGGAAAATATTGTTGACATTTTGGTTAACTCGATGTGGTTCAGATCCGTGTGCACAAGAATGTTCATGATGCTTGTCATGCTACAAAGATGGCTCCGAGGTGTCGCTATATGCACCAATACCGAGGTCGAGAGATTTCTCCTACCTATGGATTAGAATAGTTCAAGTTAGTAATCTAGATATGAGACAGGGTAGTTCCCTTCAAGGAGTTGCGTTTTTCTTAGTTTAGGATACATTTTTATACCTTCAAAAGGGAAGAAAAATTATGATTATCTTATTTGTCATAAAGGAGGAGAAAAAAATTCAGCAATCACTCTTTGTCATAAAAGGAGATAATGAAGTTCGTGTTTCTCTTCCTTTCCATAACGAACGAGAAGAAAATTTATATTTTTCTATTATGATTCTTTGTACACGTAGATCGATGGAGGATGACTTGGTCTTGTGTGACGACAACGTGTCAAATGTCGGTAAATTTCCTATCAAATAGAATATAAAATAGAGCTGTAAGCAGATTCAAAAGACATACATGGGTTGTAAGAAGCGAGAGCTTGCATGCAAGGTAAGTTATTTTTCTGGTCCAAGTGCAGACAAAGAGGATGCATGGTTGAATTCAGTAAGGCTTTTAGGTGGCTATCTTATTTGTTCTATATTGCACCAAACTGGTTGTGCACTCTGTCCTTCAAAGCTTCTACTTGTGACATTCTTTTGTGCTTATGGAATACTAATCTGAAGATAGTTTTCTGACTATATGCTCTTTTAAGTCGACCCTTTTAACTTTGACTTGTTACTTTTCCTTTAGCTCTGTGGAGGTGCTTTTGGACATCATCAACCTTTTTGATGTTGTCACTGGAGATGCTCTATTCTCTCTCTTTACTTTTCCTATAGATAAACAATTGAGCCTTTTGAGAAGAAAAAACAAACAAACAAACAAATAAATCGTTCTGTTTGACTTTCCCTTCTAAATGCATCCTTGCCTGTTCTGTATTTTGAAGAAAGCTGCAGCTCTCATACTCTTAAACTTGACCTAAGTTGCCTATCAGTTCAGCATTTCAGCCAGGTGAGACCATCTGGATTCTTTTAAGCCGGTTTGTCGCTGCAATGACCATAAATTACTGCCACACAATGAATCATGGTGATTTGATTAGCCTTTATCCCATCTTTTTCCTGTAAACGATTGGTCTCTTTCATGTTGTTGCTATTCCTGTTTCTGAAAATAGAAGTTCTACCGAGTCATCGTTGGTGTGTAGTTCCAATAGTCTATGGCCAGTAGCATAGCTCTTTCGGTTTAGTCTAAAAGTTGATTTGCCCCGTGGGTTTCCAATCCCTTTTACTATGATCTGTATGTGTGTATGCCATTTGCATATGACTGTTACTACTCTAGGATGGATCTAACAACTTTTCATTCAGCAAGTTCGGTTTGATCGGAATTAATTTCAAGATAAAAGTATGCTCTGATTTCACTTGGCGTTTTTGTGGCCTGTGAGCTCTAGCAAGTTAAATTCTTTACATAGTTATTGTGTTTTCTTGATCTTCCTATATCTTGGTGTTACTATTATTCCGGTCTTCGATTATCTAGTGCTGTTCGATGTTGACTTTCCTTTTTATCTCTGTTCTATCCATCTCAGCTGTATGCTTAATCTTTTGCCCCTATTGCTGCATGTTCAGCTAGAATCATTGGGTGCTGAAGTTGAGTCCTTGAAGAAGGACAAGGAACACCTAAGGATAAATCTCCACAGAGCCGAAGAGGAGGTTTCAAAACTCGATCTAATTAAATTTGTTCCTCTTTCCCCCTCCCTCTATGTCAGGGTAAGTAATCCGGTGGTTTACGTGTGTTAACTCAAGGTCAAGCTTCTCTTTCAAGAAAACAAAATGCTGGATGAAGATAACAAGAGACTGCTGGAATTACTTAAACGGGAAAGAAGTCGCCAAGGATCTGACAGCCACAAACGCTCTGCCACTGCTTCTGCTAAGGTGAGGTCAAACCTAAACAAATTTCTCTTTTCGGCATCATGATATGTATGTATAAAATGTTGTTTATGCTGCTGATATGAAAATATTAATATCGATCAATGTAGGAGTTATTTGAAAAGATAAAAATGAGGAGTTATTTAAAGATGAATTGAACATGCTAGAATGAGATTTATAGTTTAGATGATACGAGACGATCAAGTTAACGGTACGAGGAGAGATATAAAGCTTAATGATAGAAAAAGATTGATGTAGCCAAACATAAATAATTGGGGCATATGATTTATTATTGTTTTTGTTTCAGAGAGAAAGACATGTTTTTTTTTTTTTCCCCACTACTTAAATTAGGGCTTTTAAAGCTTCCTGAATTAATTGTGCAGGGAAAACGCAAGTCAAGCCCAAACGACTGCAGCAGTCCTCCGGGGCGAATGATCGATTTTGCTGCGGCAGATTCATCAAGACAGCCTTTGTCACCTCTGCATCAGAACTCTCCTGAATCCAGAATGCATAGGAAGTGAACAACCAAGTGTCGCCGCTTCTTCTGATGCTACAGCTATCTTACTGCAAACTGCCACCCCCGGCTGGGTTGCAACACCTCTTGTTGTACGAAGCAAGATGAAGCTTTCTTTGAACATGGAATTGCGGTTCAAATTTCTCTCGCTTTCTCGTTCTAACTCGCTCTGTAGGTTATTTTCTACTGACATTGCATTGCTCACAGTTAAGTTGGCTGGTTTTACAAAGATAAATGTAGTTACGAGCTTCTGCTGCCACAGATGCTTCTCTCGGAGTCCTTTAAACACTAGAATCGTGCAAGTTAAATGATTTCTGATGATGAAGTCTCTCTCTATCGTCGACTGCTTAGTTTCGTGACAACTGATAGAATGCTCAGTTTTTGATCCTGATGAAGATAGCTAACAATGTGGAGGTATATATAGTCTTATCCTTGCACTACAGAACTTCAATAATGCAGGACTCACGTACATGACCTACATACAAATTTGGACTTGAATCGAGAATTGCATAATTTGTATTTTTGGTACAAGAGATGACTTTTATTTTTTGTTTTAGAGTCGTTATTCAAATCAATAATTCATTGCTCAAACTGTTCTTGTGCTCAGATCTGGGAAGACATTATTTGATTTGAAGCCTTCTCACATATGCCACGAGATCATCTTCGTCACAACTACCTTCCAAATTTCGGCAAATCTCTCAACCCCATCGATCCAAATTTGTTGCAACTTTGTCGAACCAACAAGATAATATACAGCACAAACAAACATATAATTTAATCGTCACTCTGGAATACCACCGATAAGTAAATATATTTTTATTCTTTGAACCAGTTTTGAATTATGGATTAAGAAATAAACCCAAACAGAGAAACTGCAGCAGTGACTCTGTAGAAATTAAAAAAAAAAGAGTTAGAAGTTGAGAGCTTTTCTAGGAACTCCGATGCCCTAAGAGACCTTTTTGTCGCCTTCCTACCTTAAGGCGATTGCCTCACAGCTAAATCAATGAATGCGATCTTTCTCAGAATTCCCTCTCATATTTGCGGAGCTAAATCCGTTTTCCTTTTTTCTTTTCTGCCCCTACCACCAATAATCCTTTAACAGGATTTTTGCTCGGGCCAAAACTAACTAGGATTTCACTAAAAATAATAAAAAGTGCTCCCGAGTAGGCTTTTCCAAAAAGAAACTCTTCCAAATGGAAAAAAAAAGCTCAAAACATTGGACTTTTCTCTCACAAATTTATTCTAATAATAAATCTAAAAATATTGCTCTGTGATTGACCAAAGTTCGGCCCATGATCAACAATCTGAGACTCGATCATCGATGTTAGGATCCGATAACTATGATACATGCATATGCCTAATTGTTACTGAATGACCTGAACCACAAGTATTCAAAAAAAGCAAATGATCATCTAGCAAATTGAGATCTCGTGAAATGACCAGCTAAATTAATCGAGAAAATAATACCTCCGCTTCAGATCTCAAGAAAATAGTAATTTGATGATGAATTATGTAAGTAATGTCAGAAACTTTTATACCTTCCAATATGTGCCAATTTGTACCATTCAATCTGTCTCCACCTTGGAAACATTTGTGCCTCTTCAATATGTGCAAATTTGTGTGTCAGACAGATGTACATACAAAAACAGCAAGAACAAAATGAAAATTAACGTGTGCCATCTTGGAAATTTTCAACAAACTAATAAAAGCAGAATCTACCAGCTGAACAAGATTTAGCTACATTAATTCACAGGACACCGATAAAACATCATACAAGAATAGATCAGGGTAGCAAATGACTTCATATTGAGGTCCCTAACCTCTTTGTACCACATTCAGAGCAGAACTTAGATGTCTCTCTGAAGTAGGGCGTTCCACATTCGTCACAGAACTTTGCTGGGCTTGTTGGCTGGAACATAGAAGTTAAGATGGATCAGAAACTGTAAGCAAGGGTCCATCTTCTTGTTTGCCTTAATTAGTAAGAATTGCAATAAACAGAGGATGAACGGTTGCGCCATTTAAATGTGCATGTCCAATAGGGTGAGAAAATTGCATGACTTCCCATCGACTAACAAGAACATTGGCATTGGTCAGCGTTACTGCATTTTGACCTTTATTTTAAAGGAACAAGCATAATCTATCATGTGTACTTTCTGTGTAATACAAAAGTTCACTAAACCAAGAATACATGTGAGAATAGGTTCAAGGGTCTAAGTTAAGCATAAAAGGACAAATTCTAATTTGCCTGATCATCCTAGACACGAGGAACAGTATCAAACTTATAGTCCAACCTAACAGATGATGCAAGTGAAATTTCTTAGACACCTACTAAATAGATTTCTAAATCTGTCCTGAACAAGTCCTGGGAAACATTATGCATCAAAAACCCTAGAACTTTTCAGAATTTTCCTAATAGTATTAATATACTGATGATTGAGCATAGAACACCAGATGCAGTCAGAATTAGCATGAATGGCCAATAGGGCCACAGAGGAGATGATTTATCATATGCTCATGAAAATGTCAATTGACCCTGCCTGTCATTTCAGCATGCTTAATGTTAGACGACCTAACATAAAGGAACAATCAAGTTTCCATAAAAAAAATAACATTAATAGTCAAGCATAGGAAACTAAATGCAGCAGAAATCAGATAGAATTACAACGATTGGACAAAAGACCACATTAACCCCTCATTTCTTAGCTTTACAAGAATATTCTAATATTTGACACATGGCAATCACTTGGTATTTTTAGATTTTTCAAGAACATTTTAAAATTTCACTGTGAATTAACAATGACGTTCCTAAGGTAATCGATGATAAAAAAGTGAATCAAGTATATTTCCTTTATCTGGTATTTAGTCTTTAGAAGTGCCTTATGTACATCTAAACTAGATCAGCCAAATTTTGTAAAGTAGTTTGTGTAACTTGCGAGAGACAATTAGCATTTTAAACAGATGGGAGGAAGCAGTACTTTGGTGTACTGTATGGAGTCGCCTGTATAATCTTTGATAATACACTGGTGTATGCAAAATTAAACAAGCAAAGGTATCAAAGTATTGAAAATCGTTAAAGAAAACTTACCAGTATATGCAAACATCCTCCAAGATTACTTCCAGAGAGGGACTGCAAGGATGTGAGATGCGGAGGTATTGTCTGTGTCTGATGTTGGTGAGAAAGATCCGGCACATGTGAAGGATGCGGGCACTGATGTAAGTGAGAAAAGTGTGTAGAGTGCTGACTTTGCTGAATGTTCTGATGATGAACCTGGTGAAGAGGATGATATGTAGGTTGTGGCGATTGTTGCACATGATGTTTTGGTGAAGGTTCATGATGACTTTGGGACTACAGGAATGAAGTCCATTTTAGTGATCATATGCCATAACACTAAGTTTTAGTGCACAAATATGAGTCTATTTATAATTACAACTAACATTGGAATCAAACAAGTAAAAACAAGAACATAATGTAGTGCTACAACCTCCAAGCCATGAAAATTCAATCCTAGCAAATATTTCATTTATTGTCAACAAAAGTAGACTTTTGATAATTTTAATTTGGGCAAATTAAATACAAAAGAGATCAAATGATACTTTAGGGAGAACTTATCCCAAGTCAAGCAAGCATCTACTTTAATGTCAACAAAACTGCACTTTTTGAGGATCTAATTTGGGCAGATAGATACAGAATAGATCACGTGATACTTGATGGGATGCTTACAATCCTAGGTAGGTTGGATCATATTACCACTTATCAAACTTGCCATAGTTACAAATTAGGTTGCGATAGTTATTTAATCATAATCAGCAAGATTTGAGAAATCAAGACATCCTTGTGGAAAGAATTTTATATCATAATAAGATTTATTATTTCGAGAAGTTCCATTGATGTGGCCCAGCACGACTATGCAGCCAGTGCAAACCCGTCTTATATATTTAGGTTATTTTTAGTCAATTTACATGATTGAATTAAGCTAAGTTTACATTTTTTAATCTAGGAAACAGAAATATATAAACAAATAAGAAACTGTCCAGAAGTTGGGAATCAGCTATATTGGAATGAAGGTAAGGCGCAAATGCCATTACTTGGTTACCATATGTCACATTAACAAGTCATTAAAGGATAATTAATTGTTGTCAGCACTAGAGATATAACTTGACTGAGGGTATAGAAACCAAATTAGGAATTGCCTACCAAACATACGAGGGCATCAACCTCTGGCGGTATGAGAGTAGTATCCTCACTTAATCAACCTATAATAACCTTCTTTTGTGCGCCAAGTTAGTATATTACATAATTGCTAGTCTAGTATGCAGATCATTTTATAGAATCTAAGGAACAAAATGATGATAATTATAGAGTCAAATGCTAGGGAAAATATAGATAAGAGTCGCCAAATATGTAATATAATCAACAAGTGCAATGAATAAGAGTTCAATCATAAAACTTCCAATAAATTTTGACATTGAAATTTTTTTTTGTCTATGGTATACTGAACACACAACAAAAAAAAACACCATCAATGCCGGTCTCAAGCCCGGATGAAAAAAGAGGATGATTGCATTAGGTCACTGACAACCAACGTAAAACTATGTCAGATCTCATGAACAAATATCTTAACCGATTTCAGTATAGAGCTAGGTCGTCACCCGAAAATGACGCGAGGTACCTTCAGCATCTAGATGGCTTTTTACATATCTCCATTGTGGCAAAAGATTTATGTAGCCGATCCCAAATAGTTGAGACTTATAGCTTTATTGTTGTTATTGGTGCATTGAACAAAAAAAGAACTACAATAGAACATTGCTATGTTTATGGCAATCACTCCCATAGGTAGAATGATATTGACATACCCTAAGGACATGGTACAAGGGTGCTCCATTAAACATAGGAACAGTGAAGTTTCAGTAAGAATAAGATGACACTTTCCTTAACTTATATAAGTACAATATTACTAATAAACTAACAATAACATCGGCATCACTTTAAGCATTTAATATTTCTATAACCTGCCAAACCGAGTGATCATCTCTCGGAGCACATAATGTCATTCACAAGTTAAATTAGGAGTGCATCCTTCACAACAAAATTACAAGAAAAGTTGTTGTCTATGTATGAATTTAAGGCAACAAGGAACATGTTCAAATTAGTCAGATTATTTTACTCCAATAAGTACGTAAGAAGCCTAAAAGGTTTTTGTGGCAAGCATGAGACCATGGGAAGAAGTATTCAACTTCAGTCATTCAGTCTTTACCTCATTTACTGGACGGAATCCGATAGCATTAGCCACTTGGGAAGAACTTTCTGTTACTGATATTGCCTAATTACACAAAAATAAAAACCAGTAGT